ACCTTGTGCCTGGGCCGACACTTCCGAGGATGACCTTTCCCGAAGGCAACGAGTCCAAGACTGACACACTTGGACACGTAAAACTGAGGATGTAGAGGGTACTGTAGGGGCCTAAAAAAATTAGAATAGGGTTTTGGGCCCCTTTTATAGTGTAGTTATAATAAGGAACCATTAGAAATAATATCAGTAATTCTTATGGTCTTCTATATTACATCATATGGATCTCCGCCTGAAATAGACTTTGACGGCTGTGTTTTCAATGATTCTTGTAGTGCTCCTTCTGGGACACTGCCTCGCAAACTTAGGGTCAAGCTTGAGGCCGGCATCATGTACACTTCAGGGTGTAGGACGTCATCCATTGCAGGAGTTACATCAAGTCTGGAGTGAGCTCCAGTGCGGCATTTTGCACCCCAGACCCAAGCACATCCGTGTTGGACGCCTTGACGCAATTATCATGTACTTCACGCGTTTAAAACATCACGGCCGGAGAATATAGATCTCAGGACTACATGTTTCGTTCTAGGAGTTCAGGGAGAAGCATGCATCAGGGTCTTCGGCTTAGCTGAGAGTTTCCGAGAGTCCGGCAAACTTGTTCTTCCCTCAGGCCTCCCTTGCTACAGTTTAGCAGAGCAACAAGGAGAGCAGCCATGCTGACTACCCGTCAGGCTTTAGGGCTTAGAGTTAGTGCGGCATAATCCCTACTATGGACACTGCGGAATCTGGCACGTCAACAACGGCATCAGCATTGCAAAAAGGGCAGCACTTGTCATACTAGCAGGTGCAGCAACTGCACGTTTTTGACCTGAACCAACAGCGCACCCAAGGCTGGTTAAGAGCATGCTGCAAGGTTTAGGGCTGCAGGGGTTAGTCGTTTTTTCAATCTCTTCAACTCACGTGAGCCACGGATCACAACCCTCGCAGTCCAGACCTATCCTGGAAAGCACCTGGACCTGTGAACCCTACTGCTGGAGTAGTAACATCCCTCAAGAAGTCCCCAGGCCCAGGCCTAGGCCTCTATGTCCCTATAACAAGGTATAAACCCGAAACCCTATTCAAAGTTACTATTGAGGCCCGTGATCCTACTGCCGGCTCTTGTAATGATGGCTCTTCCTGTCGGCATCCTAACGTCTGACTCAAAGTGATGAGAGAATTCCCGAACCTTGATCTGCAGGGATGCTGCTGCTTCCCACTGCACTGGCTTCCCGTTTCAGTGTTCCTACTATAGAAAGACTTTCGAGCTTAAAAATGGTTTAAGACTCGGTTACGGGCTTGGGTTTGCTCTCCATTTACTGTTTCCATACACTTGGAGGCTACTGGCAGGAATTCTCACCCTCACCCCTATAAAGCACTAAAGCTCTAAACCCCAGGAGACCTTACGAACCCTAAGGCCTTAATGATTCTGAAATTCATATCCTCCTCCTGCCCTGCGCCAGCAACGTCTCGCGCATGTCTCAGGAGGTCTCTGGAAAGCTCCAAGGCTCCCTGGAGGAGTCAAGGCCCTATATAAATCCTAGAGTTTAGGGGTTTAGGGTTTATAAGTTTAGGGTATTATGTGGGTTTTGTGGAGCCCATGAGGGGTGTGCAACGGTGAGGGTTTTTGGGTCTAAGGGCCCTAAATCCTAGGGGTCAGCAGTTTAGAGTTCTAGGGCTTCTAGGGTTTGTAAACCCTATAAACCCTAACCCCTTTTGAGTCAAGGTTCTAGGTTCTAGCTCCGACGGTTCAGGGTTTGAGATAGGGTCATAAGTAAATACCGAACCCAGCCTGGTGCTCCTTATGAATGCTCTAACACAGCAAATCCTAGGGTTCCGGGGTTCAGGCGTTTATTCGGTTTTCTTCAACCCATGAAAGGTATACAATGGTGAGGGGTTTCGACTCACGCACTCGCGCAAGGGCAGGGGCATGGCAGCGAAGGTTCGAGCTTCGTGAGGGGTTTGCATTGGGTCAAGGCTTCATGGCATGGGTTCAATAAAAACCCTAAATAAATAAATAAATAAATAAATAAATATATATATATATATAAACATATATATATATATATATGTATATGGCCTAAATAATTACCAATGCTAGTTTTAGTGTGCCTTAATCCTCTAAAACCCTATATACTCTATCTATCCTATTCTTATTATATTAAGGCCCCTATAGTAACGTTTTTTGGAACCCATGAAGCCTAGACCCTAAACCCTAAGTGTTACATACCCTATAGGCCCTAAACCTTAAACCCCATACGCTATAAACCGGGAGAAGGCCGTTCGGCGTGCTAGACAAGATGCAGCCTTTGGGGTTTAGGTTCAACGGTTTAGGTTTAGGGCTTAGGCTCTTCAAAAGAGGACGAGGAATCTGCAACCATGTTATAGTTCAGAGTCGGGAACACCTCGGGTAAACTCAGAACTTCCTGCATGAACGCCCGTTACTTGCTCACCTTCCCCAGCTGCTCTGCGACAACGTAACGTTCCACTACGTCCTGAGACTTCGATGTACGATCCTCTATAAAATCGTAGATGAGTGAGAAGTCTCTCGTTTTAATGAGGCATGCAGTTTCCCCGAACCTCGCAATTCTTGATTGGGATCCGGAATGGAGCCTACTCAGCTTCTAAACCCTGAAACTGCAATCCCCACAGGCCCTTGAAGCCCCAAACATGGTATAGGGCTTGGAATTAGACTGCTAGGAAGGTGCTGTGGTTTAGCGTGAGAGATGCTGGCTCCTACCACGGCAGACAGCCGATGAGGTGCTGTCTCCAAATTTGGGTCTACAGCAGTCAAACTCACTTGACCCTACACAGAAGCTCCGTTTACCTACAGTACTTGCTTTTGAGGCTCTAACCTACGTTGTGCCCCTAAACCCTAAACCCTAAACTCTGAATGCTACTAAACCTTAAACCCTAAACCCCTAAACCCTAAACCCTAAAACCCTAAGCCCTAAACCCTACACTCTGAATGCTAAACCATGGATTTGCAGCGGCAGGTCTGGTGGACACTAATTTTTCAACCTGAACTGTGGGACTGAAACCTAAACCACCGGAAATCTCATGTTCTTTGCAGCCTCACCTAATGAGGGGCCTTAGTAGTTAGAATGGGGTTTTGGGGCAATTTATGCTGTAGCTATAATAAGGAACCCCCCAAAATAGTAGAGGTAATTATAAGGCCCTATACTAAGCATAAAAGACCATAAGAAATGCTTTAGTGTACACATAAAATAACTATAATGCTTAAATATCCCCCCCACCATCCTCGGCCCTGGTCCCGAAATCCTAGTTCTTTCTAGTTCTTGCAGTTTCTTACTCACGGCGTGCCTCAGCATCGGGCACCCGCCGATGTAAGGGACGGGTGCTTTGGCCCGTAGAGCCAGTAGACCTGAGGCTTGTGGAGACCCCCAGCCCTACCCCCTAATACCCTAAACCCCTAAACCCTAAACCCTAAACCCCAAACCCCCTAAACCCCTAAACCCCAAACCCCTAAACACTAAACCCTAAGGGTGTAGGACTGAGGGACTTAGGGTCTATAAGCCCAGGGTATGACTAGGGCACTTCAAGCTGCATACTTTGCTGCAACCGTAGTAGTTGGGACGAGGTTTCTGCCATCAGTCACCAGGGCTCTACATCATTGCTTTCCTTGTGGTGCTATTCCTTCTCCTTGCCCCTTTAGCGAGATATTTTCCACGCTAGGGTGCCGCAACCACGGGTCTAGCCTGAGCCTTAAGCCCTCTCTGTAAAACGAGCACACCCACGCCCTAAACCATAAACTCTAATCCTACACCGTGAAGCACAACTTCGGCTTGGCAGCATTACAGGGTTTAGGGCTTATAGGGTATAGCAAGGTAGAGGGTTTCAGGTTGCAGGAGTATCACAAGCTTAATATAGGGACCTTATATTGATAATTAGAATAGAGCCTTGGGCCCCATTATACAATATTTATAATGAGGAACCCCCCAAAAATAGCATAGCAGGTAATTATTTAGGCCCCTATATTACCCTGAAACTAAACCCCAAAACCCCTAAACCCTAAACCCTGAACCCTAAATACCCAACATAGTATATTAACTTAGGCCCCGATATTACCCTGGAGCTGTCTTGCGGTCAGGCACGGGCCTTCGGGCCCGAAGAGTTCGAACCTGAGGCCTCACATCCTAAAGGGTTTAGGGCTTATAGGGGTTAGGGCTGAGAAGGTTTAGGGTTTATAAGGCTTTAGGGTTTAGGCTTTATATATATATATATATATTTAAGGTTTAGGGTTACGGGTATAGGGTTTAGGGCGTTAGGGATTTAGGGTTTAGGGCCGACTAAAACAACCCTTCCAGAACCACAAAACACCAAGACAACTCAGCGCACTACCCTAAAAGAGTCTCCCAGAGACTGAAGACACGAAGCCTGAACAGGGAGATCTTGTTTCCCCTAAGGGTTCATGTACCTACATAGTAGAACATTGGCCCTAAAGTACCCTTATAGGGACTACATTAAGGCCAAAGTATATACTATTTGGTACATGGACCCTTAGGGTTCGGGAGGAAGCCTTGCAAGGCACTTGCGTCCCTAGAACTTTCTTACTAGTGGTTAGGATAATGCTAATTGCGCTTGTCCATTCATTATTGCACGAAGTGTTGCAGATCCTTTTGGCTGTTTGGGTCCTTTTTGCACTTCCTCTCGTCTCAAAGCTTAACGGCTCAGGATGTAGGATTGAGGCGGTTTGGGATTGAGTGCAATCTATCGGGTATGTTTGAGGGGGCCTGAGTAAGTAATTAGCGGGCTTTCGGGCGCTACTCCCTTATACTAATCAAGAAACGGACCAGAAGGAATTGCCCCGCTGATCGTCGAGGACAGCAGGTGCATTGCATGCTGAGGGGGCTTGGCTTAAGCTAAGCCCCGTCCAAACTGCTTTTCCCTACATGCCAATCCATTCTCTCTGTCTCGCCCTCTCCCGCTCCTTGGCCCCTCCTTCTCTGTCACTTTCTGTCACCATCTGAAACTTTATTCTCTGCCCATAGAGAAACACACCAAGCACATTATGCTGATGCCTTATGCCTCGTTTTTCGAGCTGGAGAAGAATAGAAGGCTACGTCTAGCTGCGAAGAAGAAATACCTGCAGACACTGCGAGCGATAACGCGGAGTGATAACATAAGCAGCAGCTACAGTCGCGACAGTCATAGCATGACCCCTTCGCTGGACTCACTGTTTTGACACCTTCCGCACAGCTCGACGCAACGTCGGCCCGGCCATCCGTCAGAAGCTGCACAGCATCGCGGTGGCCATTCTGGGACGCCGCCATCAACGGGGATGTTCCCAGCCAGTTACCTTCGAATTCAAGAAGCTGCTGCAAAGCTTGAACTCCTATATTTAGCTTACGTGCTGACAAACACTAGAAGTTCGATCCCAAGTTGCGCCTTGTCCTTTGGAGCAAGGGGTACCCACTAGTCCTGTACTTTTTTTCATGAGCTTTCGAACCAGGAACCCAAGTGCTACACAGGTCTCCAAAAAGCAACGTAGGTGCTAGAAGCCAAAGTCGGTACTACTTGTTGGAGCCTTCGGGTAATGGATCTAGGAGATTTCTGGGACAAAGTTGCGGGAAATCACATCGAAATCCCAAGCTTATAGCCACTCCGAAACAGTCTAAACCCTGCGTAGCTTTGCTTCAGCCAGCAAACCTCCAAGCAACAAGCCACCAACTTCGCGAGCCCTAGACTTCAAACCTGAAAATCAGCAACGTCAGCCAACAACAAAAAGAAAACGAGTATGCATCGTGCGAGCTGAGAATTGGAAGAGCAAGGGGGGCATGAGCTTGATGGCTTAACCTTTGCCAGTCCTAGCAGCCCGGCTAATCCAGGGTTGGTTTTTGCGGTTGGTGGCTACAGACCGCACAGCCCACACCCTCTATTCTGAGCCATCCAACCTTTACGGTAACCTCCCACTAATAAATCTAGAGAGCAAATCCATGGGGGGGCTGTTATCCAACCTAAATTGTCAGACCCTTGTCTTCCCTAAGCTCTGATACCCGAAAGCTGAAAGATCAACATATCCAGTTGCACACATTCACATCCACCCCGAGGCTCATCAGCATGGCGAGAACATCCTGAGTGTAGGGCTTTAACATCAGCTGTTCCTTCTTCAAGACTCGCAGACAAGGCAACAGCATCTGCCAGGAGCATCAGCCTATTGACTGAATAGGGTTTGGGGTTTAGGGTAGTGCTTCGAAAAGCATTCTGAAAATGCTCCGGTCTTGTCTGATGCGAGGAATACAGTCCTGGATTTTGGTAAAAGAGCTTTCCGAGGGAGCACCGTTGAATCTGAAGCTTTCCCAATGTCCTGCTGCAGGGACACTGTTGTGAAACACACATTTTGTGGCGGGCATATCCGGTAAACGTTCTTGGAGCGCTTGTTGGAATGCTTTTTGGGAGGCCTGTCCTCTCTAGATCCGAATCAGACATGTTCCAAAAAGCCATCCCAAAAGTTAACATTATGGAAAAGTGCTTGTGGGTTTAGGGTTTGGGGTTAGATTTCGGAAGATGTTGATGACAACGAAAACTGCTTTTGCTCCGGGCAAGATGACTTTTGCAATTCTGGGCACAAGATTTACTGTGCATTTTGTGGGCACAAGATGTACCGTAGCATACCTACAACCCACGGCATCATCACAACCCCGACGTAGAGGCCGGACTTAAGATTCCGAGGGTTTGCCACTCGCTAGTCCCCAACACTACGGCTCAAACTTGCCAAAAAAAACCCTCTGGTCTTTGGGCGCAAGGGCCTCAACCTTTGAGTCCTTACAGCCTTATGGCCTCATGGTAATGATTCCTGCCTCTACGCGGCAGAGTTTCTCACCAACACCTGGGAGAAGAAGATGCATGGAAGCCGTCAGCGAAAAGCATGCGACCTACACGCTCTACTTCGTCCCTTTTTCGGTTGCCCCTGCTTTTCCAAAGAATGACCCCAACTATGACAAACAAGTTCTCCAACATTCTACTGCAGGTGAGGGTGTGGGTAGCCAAAACCCTCAAGCCCCAAACCCCCCTAGGTTGAGGCCTGTTAAGGGCCGGGTGTCCACTGCACCAACTCGGGCTGCCAGCAGCAAGGGGGTGTCCCCGACACCGTTTGTGAGATTCCTTGCTGGGGTAGATACACAAACAAACAATTCAATGACAGAGCACCACGACCAGGGAGAACACTGGGCCTGGACAGCTCCGGTATAGTGCTGGGGGGAAAGAGGAAGCCTTGTGAAAACCACGTTGCTGTACTATTATCATAAGTCCGCAGGGAGCCTATAAGTATTTGTTCAAGATGCTTGGGGGGTTTGCGCTGATCATTACAGTGCTGGTCGGATCATCCTGGTCATGATGAGCATTGCCTCCCACGGGGTTAGCTAGCGTCCAACCTCAGTCAATGGCAGGGGCCATCAAGCAAACTTATGTGCAGCAGTGTATGGTTCACATGGGGATACGTACGTGCCCAGGCGCCAAGCCCACGTAAGTCCAGACCAGCGGAGACCAGCCGTGATATGACATGATATGACAACGACATGACGTGACGTGACATGACTTGACAAGATACAGCCTGATATCGTATCACATGCCATGCTCTGACATAGTACGGCATGGCTTGTCATGGTATGACTTGGTATGATATTATCTGAGACTACATTGCGCGGCTTCATGCCAAATGATACGATATGAGATGACATGGCCTGATAGTATATGGATTGAGAATAACATGATATAGCATGGTATGATATGACATATGAGAACATGTTCACAAACACGCCGACACAGATCTACCATTACATACAGGCACAGGTCACATGCTTTGGGGATTTCAACCTGACAAAACATGCTGCAAACGGTCCACGACCTGTAGTAGAGCGCAGTGCAATAATGAATCTTGCACTGACAGAATTCGGGATCTTACCCTAAGGGTCCGTGTACCCAAATAGAAGATACTTTGGCCGCAGAGTACCCTAATAGGGACTACTTTGAGGCCAAAGTATCTACTATTTGGGCACATGGACCCTTAGGGTTATTTTCTTACCCCAGGGCCAAGGGTCACGTTTGCCCGGTGCTGGCACAAAGCACTTGCCACAGCCAACTGGTTGTTCTGAAGCGCAAGCAGGAGTGGTGTGTCTCCTTCGGGCTTGCAGGTCTCAAGTTTCGGTTAGTTTGCAGCTCCTCTTGGAACCAAGTAAAGGTTTCGGGTTTCGGGTAGCTTAGTTTCGATTGACAACCTGAAACCGTGCAAGGTGCAGCGTTTCCGTCGCAGGGCCGAAGGAGATTGAAGCTGCTGCTACCGGCTTCAGCATACTCGCGGTTTTCACGGTGCCGTAAACCTCAAACCTGCGGCCTCAATGCCCGCATAACGCCTGAACGCAAGGTCTTCAATCCCAAATCCTTAGCGGGTTGTGCGGGTTAGTCTTGGGAACGACCAGTCGAACGACCAGTGAAGCAAATACAACCTTCATTTGCGAGGCTTCTCAGAAACAGGACGAATGTGGGTTTAGGGTTAAGGGCTAGTCCTCATGACCTCTTGCACACAGGGATTTCTTTCCTTTGCGGTACCTTGCTTCGAGTATTCGCTAATATGCACGTTCTACATTTGGGTGCTTTGTTCTAAAACTTCAACGTCAGCAACCACACGACACTTACGCCTTCTTGGATGTGAAAGATACCTTTGCTTATCCGTGGCCTTATGATTAGAACAAGGTTTCGGGGTATAGAAAACTATACTGATAAGAAGGAACACCCCTCGTATTAATCACTTAAGGCCCCATATTTATGTGCTCGTCTGGGAGCCCAAGAATCAAGCCCTCACCAAGCCCCGTCCGGCCTGAAATGTTGCAAACCTCACGGCTTTAGGGTTTGTGGCTTAGTGGTTTAGGCTTGGGGGTTCAGGGCTATTGCCTTTTAGCGTTTGGGGTCTTCGGTTCTGTGCAGGCAACAAGAGCCTGATTGAGAAACGCCCTGTGCCTCCAAGGGTGTTGGTGTGGACCCTTCGGTTGTGCAGATCTAGATCCAGCGATGTGTTAATCAGGTTTCTACAGGGTTCCCCGAAGCGCAGCGCTGAGAACCCAAACCCAAGACAGGCTTGGGATTTACGGTTTGGGTTGTTTCGTGGGATTCTGTTTCGGAGTTTCGGGTGTAGGCTTCAGGATTGAGGGCCGGTGGAACTTAGGGTTTGCAAGTCCTTTCGGGGTTTCGGTTGGGTTCGGAGCAAGCACGAACCTGATGAGGGGCGGGGTTGTTTGCGGCTGTCGCTTAGGTGTCTAGGGCTTGGAAGCTCAAAGTAAGGCTCGTACCCTTAATTGTTCTTCATCAGGGCTTGTGCAATCGTCTGAATATCTGTAGGGTACCCTGTACCCTAAACCCCTAATTCGGAATCATAGGATTCACAGCAGATCTTCGGGCGTGCGCGGCTTCATTCGTTGGAGGGGAAACCGGGGATAGGGTTTGCGAATTCCAGGACCCCAACCACGCGGACCTGAAGCAGCAAAATCCTAAAGTTTATACACGTGCCAAAATCTGACTCCCCAAGAGCCTGAAGCTACAAACTGAAGCCCAAAAGCCTACAGCCCGAACAAAAAAAGTGCAGCTTGAAAACATCCGGATCTGCACGGAGCTGAAGCAACGCAACGAGAATCTTCGCTCGCCCCAAGGTTGAAGCAAGGATCACCTGGGAACGGGCCAAGTGGCCGTCTCTTTCGGGTGCCTGTGCTTCGCATCAACCAAAAGCAGCTTAAACCCTAAACACTAAACCCTAAACAATGTAATTACGTCTCGGGGCAACGAACCATTCAGATCTTACTGTAAGACCAGAGGATGACACCACTATACAACTGAACCCTGAACCCTTTTGCCCTAAACCCTAAACAACTGACTGGTTCAGCCCTGAACCGTAAATTTCTGGCTGAGGGGCGTGGGGGTCTCTGGGAAACTGTTTTAACCTTGCTCCAGGGCTGGGGTTTGCGTGTTGCACTATACAGTTCCTCTGGACACTGAGCAAACGCCATATCTCAGTGAGTTCCAGTACCTATACAGTTGTACTGCCACATACCCCACGGCCGGCAACAACTGCTGACGAAGGATCCGCGGTGTTCAAGTCGGCGCGGTACTGGTACAGCAGCTGGACCATGCTAGGCTCGTTCTTCCGTACTGCCAGCAGCAGTGGCGTATCCTGAGATGACTCCTTAAACCCTCTTGCAACTGGCTTGCAACATCACGCCGGCAGCCTGAGGCGTGTTCTGAAGCCCTTTGACCCTTCGGCGACGGCCCGGGGATGATAAAAAACAGCTCAAAGCCCTGTTCTCTGACGACAGCAGTAATCAGGCTGAGACACGAACACATAGCCGCTAACAATAGCAGTACAGCAGAGAGGAGACAGATCTGTGCAATCTATAATATATATATATATATATTTATGTGTATATATATATATATATATATAAATGTATATATATATATATATATATGCAAGTATATGTGTATCTATACATATGTAACTATGTTTTTATGTACGTACATACGCACAGACATGCATTTAAGTGCACGCAATTACATATGTAAGTGTGTATAGAACAGCTCTGCCGGTCACCTCGTTTGTCGCTCCGAGCAAGATATAATCGCACACCTCCAAGGCCCAAGCTCTAATTCTCATACTTCAACCCTAAACCCGACGTTCACTGCAAAACATCAGACCAAGAGGCTCGACAGCGGAGTCTTGTGTTGACATCTGCACGCTTGCTCAGCAGCATGTGCATGATGTCCATCTGCCCCTCACTGTAAGCCAGAAGAGCTGGAGTGTCACCTGCTTGGGCTAAAGGCTCAACAGGCTTTTTTGCTGTTAGGGGTTAGCCTTAGGTTACTAGGGCTAGAACGGTTTAAGGTGTACATGGACTGAACTTGAACTTCAGGGGTTAGTGCTCTGGACTTTGGTTTCAGGCGAGGAGTCCGGCATTTCTATGTCAGGGTTCCTATACCCTAAACCCTAAACCCTCAACCCTAAACCGCCCAAGCCTACACCCCGAACACTCTGCCCTGCTGAGGCTTCATTTATTGTGCTGGGACCTCTGGGCTTAGAAGAACCCTTAACCCTTAACCCTATAAAACCCTTACCCCTAGACCCTAATACCCTACACCTAAACTTACCTAAACCCCATTTCGCGCTTAGGCATGATGCGATCTTCGTCGCTGAGTGCGCGCCTGGAGTTAGAAATGACACTATCGTCCTCGGAAAGGAAGCCTCGGGTATATAATTCTCAAAATAATAGGGTCCCTTTAAGGCTGTAAGCTGCTGTAACTGCTGACTGCGGTGCTCGTAACAACAGATTACGTAATACGATGATTGTAACTGCAGCTATACTATACTTGAAGTAATGCAAGATCAATAACATTGAATAGCCATTACCACCAGTGATACCAATCGCGCTAACTGGTAATGGTTTCAGCCCCTATATTAATCCTCTTGGGGCCACAGGGTCGCCTGTGCTCTTGTTCGGCTTGCTGACATCTGCGTGGCTTTCGCAAAGCTTCCGTGAGATCTCCCAGCTCCTGTGTTCGCAACGGTCATCGCAAAGTCTATATAGTAGGGTTCATAAGAACAACAATAATTAATAACCTACAAAAGATACATGCAGCAACCCAACATGTAGTTGTTACTCCGGAAATGGCTTCATAGCAAAGCAGGATTCTGGTTGAAAACCGGCTTAAGGCCTTTATAGTTTTCCAGGTGGAGCACCAAGGTTCCTGCTCCGGATTGCCAGCAGCAGCGGTGAGTCGCCCTTTGAGTCATGACCATTCACATCTACATGGCGCTCCAGCAGCAGCAGGCACACAGCAGACATTCGACCGTGTCTCACTGCCGCAAGGAGAGCAGTCTCCCCAGCCTCACAATTTGAAAGGTTGAGGCTTTGGCATGGACATGTTTGATTCCAAGAGTGTCGGATGAATGCGGGACACCCTTTTGGGTGTGTTAGAAAGCCTTTTTCGCTCTATAAGCGAGATAGCTGTAGTCTCGAATGTCGCTGACCGGGCGGCTATTGACCGAAGCTTGGCCGGGCAATTGCGATTTCTTCAGAGGTATTATTAGGTCGATTGTAGGCTCTATGGGGGCATCATGTTTGCCCAAGTTTCAGCATCTGCACCGCCAGCCCTCCGCCCTGACCCCAACCCTTCAAAACATACTCAACCTGAGTCGCTCGTAGATCCTCAGAAGCCGTAACAAATAAATCCCAAACCCCGAACGCTAAACTCCAAAATCCTTAAAGCCCTACACCCTAACCCCTAGACCTAGGGTGTTGGGGTTTTGGGCTTCAGAGTTTAGTTTTTTCCAGGGTATAGAGTTTAGGGCTTTAGGTTTAGGATTCCTGGACATTCTTTCAAATCACCCGAAGCCTGAAAGCACAGACTTTGCCTGCAGCACTCATCATGAACTGAACAGGCTTCCCTTTTTGCAGCAGGCTTCTCTCGCCCGGAACTGCCGTCGCCGTGAAGCAGTGCAGCACTCATGACTAGGCCTAAACCCTAAACAGGCTTGTCGCGAGTTCATGATTTCGTGCCGTGAGGGCGCACCCTGCAACCGCTCACGGTCCGACTCACGGTTGCTGAAGTTGGACCCTCCAAATGGGGGTTTCCGAAATAGGGGACCCTAAAAAAGTACCGTGAATAGTAGGGTCCTTGTTAAAAGGAGCCCAAACTAAGGGACCCCCTTGGTTTCGGAAACTCCCAAATGCACAACCGCTTCCACCCTTAACCCTACTCCACACAAACCACATTGACCTTAACGCCGCGGCAGTCGCTTCTGTTCGGGTTCCCCTAACCCCCCAAATACCGACCCTAAACCCTAAACCCTTAACCCTATATAGTAGGTATTTGGAGAGTTCGGGTTCGTTTGGGATCGAGGAACCAGAGGCATGACGTCAATGACGTGGTGCTACATCCGGCTTCCACTTTGGGTTTTGGGTTTAGGGTTTGGGGTTTGGCATACCCTGCCAGAAGCTAAATCACCTGTTGTTGTAGGGTCCTGTCATGAGGAAAGAAGCCACGAAGACCCTGAAAGAGAGGTTCTGATGGATTAAACCCGAATACCTCAAACCCAACTTCGAAGCCTCACATCCGAAATTCCTGGGTGAGGAGAGCAGGCTGCCATGTGCTCCAAAGAACTAAACCCACGAAACCCAAACCACAGAACTTCAACCTCAACCCTAAACCCTTAACCCTAAACCCAAAACCCTAACCCTTAACCCTAAACCCTAAACCCTAAACCCCAACCCGAACCAGACACTCCGCCTCATTGCAGGCGTTGACATCTGTTCGAAGCTCCAGCAGCAAACGAAGGCACTCCGGCTGATCGACCTGTTCCAGCACCGAGCTTACAGCTTGGGAACCCTAAACCCTAAACCCCTAAACCCCAATGGCCAAAAACTGCTCCGCCTTTGAAGCCAACAAGCCCGAAAGGCCTTTGCCTGGGCAGTGATATTTCGGGCTTCAGGCGTTTTAAACTTGTCAGGATATGGGCGTCGCATTTCCAAGTTTAGGATGCCTTGCAAGATCCAAGAAATGCAAACCTTGAAGAGGGCCCTATCTGAACCGTCTCAAACCATACAGTTACAGTGTTAGGATATCTGCTTGGGAGAAGGAGGGTATCTGGGGACTCTTGAACATCTGGGCTGATGACCGATGATGTAGAGTGCGGTCATTAAGGAGAACTCAGGAACGTTAGGTGCCGGGTGCCCGGAATAGGACAATCCTTAAACGTTTAACATCACTTCGCATATGAGTAACCTCAAATCATGGTCCTTTTGCACAGAACTAAAATTTTAGGAACCGAAAAGAGGCTCTAATTTGGACAACCACCCATCTATGCTCTACCCTGAAACCCAAAGTCCATTTCCCTTCCCTTCAATCCGTAACCCAAGCTGCCCCTGTTGGCATCTGCACGGTGCCGACACAGAAGGCGCACGACCTGGGCGTTTCAGAGCCCCTCGAACAGATCGGACCCTCAGTCGGTCTGGAGAGTCTCAGGTTTTGGGGGTTCATGCAGAACCAATAACTCTCGTAAAGTTGTGAAACATTAAAAAAGTTGGCAGGGATAAAGGTGAATAAGACGATATATGATCAGCTTATACTTGCTAACTCCGTATCCCAAGATTCTGAATGGCACCCTCAACCCCACACTCTACACCCCACCTCGACGTGGTTTCGCTGCATCGCCAGCAGCACGGGCGACTCAGCTCTATAGTTGCACATGTTCACCTGAAGGGGCTGAAGGCTTTTATTTAGATTCCTTGTCCCCTTGGGTTTTACGAACTTTAAGGTTTCATGGGTATTGGGCTTTATGCTTTTTGTGTTTAGGTTTTAGGGTTTAGGGTTCATGACAATGCTCCTCCAAAGTCCAAGTCATCGAATTCAAAGTTCCGAAATCCGAAAGCCCACGAAGCTTCACCGGGGGATCCTACTGTAGGGGCCTAAATAATTACCTACATACTATTTTGGGGGGGTTCCTTATTATGATTATAGGATAATGGGCCCCAAAACCCTATTCGAGGCCCCTAAGAAAGAGCCCTACTGTAGATCTCTTATAGAACCCTTTAAGGATCCCTCTAAAGAACGCCTATTCTAATTAGTATAAGGCCCCTAAAGTAGAGCCCCATTATAGATTTCTTATAGAACAAGATCCCCTTACAGGAAGCCTAGTCTAATTTATTCTACAGCCCCATAAATAGATCTCTTATAGGATTTAAGGATCCCTTTAGAGGAAGCCTAGTCTAATTATTATAACCCTAAACCCTAAACCCTAAACCCTAAACCCTAAACCCAAACCCCCCCCAAAAAAAACTGAACCTCAAAGGTGAAACCCGCCCTTGCCTGGCCCCGTCTTTCCAGCAGCAGCTGCACGACTTCTAACCTGAGGGAGGTGGCAGCTTCGGCGGACGCAGAGTGCAGCTTTAACGGTTGCTTTAGGGTTTAGGATTTATTTAGGGTTCAGGGTATATTTAGGGTTTGGGACAAGGGGCCCCAAAACTCTAAAATCAAAGCCCCTAAAGGGCCGCTGAACTTCCTGAGCCGTGCAATGTAAGAAGGCATGGACAGCCGTCCTGTAAACTCTCCCAGCGCCAGAACGTGAAACTCTGCTCCTGGCAGGGTTTAGGGCTTAGCGTCCATAAGCCCTGAGAGATCTGGTACGAAAGTCTTCGAATCACGCCACTCTTCTCGACTTAGACTCTACAGAAGACTAATCCCCACAACAGAAAACAACGGCAACTACGCCCGAAGGGTTCCTGCTTGTGGCTTTGCTTCACTGCCGGAGGAAAAGCAACGAAAAAACAGCATAAACGCCAAACTCTCGAAACCTCTAGAGGACCCCGAAAAACCTCAGACCTCAGAAAAGAACCTACTTATTATGGTTTTAAACGTATGTTTTTCGGCTGCCTTGTTTCCATTTCTAGGCCCGAAATGACAAAACTGGTTGGCCCAACAAAAGAACTACAGTGGAGAAGCCCTACCCATAGGCCCTAAAGTAGTTCCTTTCTGGGGTTCATATATAGAATCCTATAAGGTAACCCCAAAAAAGGAACTACTATGCGGCCTATGGGTAGTCGCTAGCCTGGCGGCCTGAACCCCAAGCCCTCTCCGACCTCTGACTGTTCAAGGTATCCTAAACCCTAAAGAAGCAACAACCCGCGTTAAGGGTCTAGGGTTTAGGGTAAACCCGAAACCCTACAACTATACTGTACTGTATACTGTACTGCATTGCTGTTTCCATACTCTACTATACTCCACTCTACTGTACTTTAACGATCCGAGGTACTCGAAACCCTAAACCTTAAACCCTACATCATTATATAACTGCCCAAGGTACGCGCCAGATTTGGCGGCCTCCCCCAGGGGTGTGTTGCAAAGCCTATCGCAGCAGTTCGGCTCTGCCTGGGCCTCGGAACTTGCATTGTTTTGCGTGTTCTGATGTTTTACGGCTTTCGGGTTTCGGATGTCTCTCTTGGGGTTTTAGGGTTTAGGGCTNNGGGGGGGGGGGGGGGTAGCATAACGAGTGGCTTGTAGGGTTCAGTTTTGTTCTTCTGACGATTGGCGCTTGGAAAATCTCATGGTTATGGCTGGGCTCTACCCCAAAAGCCCGATACCTGTAATCAGGCGATTTAAAAAGCCTTCCCTAAACTGTCTACGAATTTCTTACTAAAATGACTTCTGGGACATTCCCTACCTGCTTGAAGGCTACTGATGCAGCGCTAATGGTGCAAGATCTAGCATTTCCGACTCCAATTTAGCGGCCCTGGGGACTTATGTAACATGGCTTCTGGATACAGGATAGTATAACTATACAGCGATTAGCACGCTAAGCGGATAGGATATGACTGTTACTTCTACCGGGAGGTTGTGGGCCCTATCGGGGCCCACGACGCGGACCCGAAGAAACCGGAAGAATCTCCAAGGAGAGAGAAACAGGTGAAGCCTTGTCGTTAGGATTTTGTGAATAAGGGTGTCTAAAATCCAACCTGTAGCCCCTCAGCTTCGAGTTTCAGGGTTGCGTTTCCAGGTGAAGTGGTTAGATAAAGGACACCTTCATTTGAACCCCACGTGGTATATGACCCCTAGTGACCCAGTGTTTTGGACTCCTTCAAAACTTGAAATCCTGGTTTCAACATTAAAAAACCCTAAACCCTAAACCTTAAACCCTAAACATCATTAAACTCTTTGTTTTCCATCCGGACTTGTGCAATCGCCTGCAGGCCTGAGCATACACATTACACCCTGAACCTTTGAACCCCAACCCCTAAAACCCCGAACCCTCAAACCTAAACCCTAAACCCTAAAACCCTAAACCTCAAAATCCCTAAACCCTAAACCCTAATTCCAACACTAGACCCTGAACCCCCAACGAGAAGCTCCCATAACTGGCCTCGAGCAAGAGTTTCATGCAGGCAGGACGGGCGAAACAGAGCGCCGCCGTGCCATTCCTGGTTTAGGGCCTTAGGGTTTAGGGGTTATAGGGTTTAGGGCCTTAGGGGGTCATAGGGTTTAGGGCTAAAGGATTAGGGTTTAGGGCTTAGGGGATTAGGGGTTTAGGGGATTCCTGGAGGCACCCCTAAACCCTAAACCCATTATCGGATTTGGGAGAAGATGGAGTTGTTCGGAAGCGACTTTCAACGTAAAAGGCGTGGGTTTACGAGGAATAAGGCTTTGGGGTCGAGAGTTTGGTTTGGGGTTAAAGGGTTAAGGGTTTAAGGGTTAAGGATTTAGGGGTTTAGGGTTAGGTGTGGGGTTCTAGGGATCTCAAGGGTTTATTCTAGACCTGGACCAGGTTGGGACTAAAATCCGGAGCCTAGTCCCAATGAAGCACAGGGGCCCAAGCACTAAACCACAGAAACCCCAAACCTCTCAACATCGCGATCTCAATCTACAAATTACCTCGCGTTGCACCCAAGAGCCCAGACCCCAAACCCTGAACCCTCAAGCACCGAGAGTCTTTTTGAGGTTTGGGTCCAATGGCTTTGACAGCAGCTTCTCGAGTAAGTCCGGGTTGTCGGAGCCCGCGAAGCGCATGAGGACATCCTTGTCCTTCCTCGATGGCTTTAGCGTTTCGGGTTTAACGCTTTTTACATACAAACTAAAGACCCTAAACCCTCAAACCCTGAACCCTAAACCCCTAAACCCTTTTTTGCACCCCTAAACCCTAAACCCCTAAACCCTAAACCCGAAACCCGAGTGTTTAGGATGTAGGGTATAGCGGTTAGGGACATGAGGGGTGCAGGGGTTTAGGGTTTAGGCTTCCGGGCCCAAACCCCAGACATCTCGAGACTTTAGGGCTTAACGTGGCGGCCTTAACACTTGGAATAGGCTTTTGGGGACCCCTTATTCGTATACTCTACCCCCAAACCCTTTTTTAATTCTTTAGGCCCCTATAGTAGGGTTTAGGGCCCCTTTTTTAATTCTTTAGGCCCCTCTAGTAATGTTTAGGTGCTCCAAGCTTCTCGGAAGGCTCAGCGAAAGGTTGAATCAAGAGTAGAAGGTCAGGCAGTTCCTTCTCCATGGACTCAGAAAACCACAGAGCATCGTCCTCGCCAGTCTGAGAACTTGCAGGGGGTAATCTTGGAGTTCAGGCTTAGAGTGTCCGATTTATTAGGGTTGACCAGGGTGTATTAGGGTTTAGGGTTTAGAGTTTCTGGTTTATGGGTTTATGGGGTGTATATAGGGAGCAATTAGGGTTAAGTTTATTGTTTGTCGGCTCTGGCAGCTTTCCCGGGTCTGGGTTACTGGGGTTTGTGGTGTGCGTGCATTAAGCTTACCTATCATTCAAGACTGATTGAAGATTCGCACCGCTTGCCATTCCATCTTTCCGAGATGTGAGCTTAGTACCATACCCTAAACCCTAAACCCTAAACCCGTTTCGGATCAGACGTTCGTCCTTCAGCGCTGCACCATCACAGATCAGCCGCTGTTGAAACCGTGGAACTCCCAGAAGTGCCTGTAGGTACCTTCGATCATTGGGTTTAGGGATTGTTATAGCTTTCTTGGGGTTTGTGTGATTTTTGGGTTTTAGGGTGAGACCTAAGTGTTTGAGAACACATTACAGTGCCATGGTTGCCAACACATACACATGCACAGTTGCCACACGTTCCAACACCCGTGTGCTTGCTCGCCCAGCCGAAAGACCCAAGGGCAAACAATGCTAAGCCTTGTGCGTACTACTACTACTACTACTACTACTACTACTACTACTAGTACTACTAGTACTACTAGTACTACTAGTACTACTACTACTACAAGTACTACTAGTACTGCTAGTACTGCTAGTACTGCTAGTACTACTAGTACTAGTAGTAGTAGTAGTAGTAGTACTACTACTACTACTACCACCACCACCACAACCACGACTATTACTACTATTACTAC